CGAGAGCGCGACGCCTGGCCACTCAGGGCTGGCGGCTTGGTCCCCGAAGTGGACCCTGCGTGCTTGTGCGTGTGTGGGGGCCCTCCCTGCTCAACAGGGGCAGGGGCGTGCACAAGCCCTTCCGACCTGTGCTTCCTGGGCTCCGCCCCGGCCCCCTGCCCAGCCTCCCTGGTCTCCCCACCACATCTGGGTCGCAAGTACCAGCCGGAAGGAGCGGAGCACAGACAGCCCCTGCACGTTGGCCAGGCCCAGCTCCACCAGGCTGAGGGTGACGATGATGCTGTCGAAGATGTTCCAGCCCTGCTGGAAGTACTCGTAGGGGTCCATGGCCACCAGCTTCAGCACCATCTCGGCCGTGAAGATGCCCGTGAACACCTGTGGGGGGGCTGTCATGGGGCCTGGGAGGCACCGTTGGCGCTGCCAAGGAGCCCTGAGGGCGTCACCGTGGGAGAGCTGGCACAGGGCGAGGGGAGCCCAGGGCCCGGAGCCACCCTGGGGGCCTGTCACAAGGCTAGGGCCTCAGGGGTCACCTGTGGGGGCCGTCACTGGGCCTGGGAGCTGCCTGTGGGCGTGCTGTCACAGGGCCCCAGGGCGTCCAGGCCCCGGGACGTTTCTCAGCCCCTTCCCGCCTCCTGGGGTGGCTGCAGGGCTGGGGGCAGGAGTCCGGTGGCAGGGGGTGACGCCTACGGCCCAAGTGTGTGTGTGAGCCAGTGACGGGTGCCATGGCCAAGGGCAGAGATAGGATGACCCAGAGACCAGTTCCCATGTACTTCTGGCCTTGGGACCGTGGACAAGTCACAGACAGCCTTCACAGAGCTCTGGGTTCACACTGTGATCCCGTGAGTATGCCAGCCTCTATGAAGTCAGGAGGGCTGTCTCGTTGGGCCCACAGGTGAGAAGCTGAGGCTCAAAGGTGTCAGCTGCTGGCTGTGGTCACGCCAACCACACAGGGGCACGTTGGGTCCCGAGTCTCATTCAGCCTCATGCCTCTCTACCTGTGGCCTCCCTCCTGGGGTCAGTCCCAGAGCCCGCCCTCTCAGTGGACTCGAAGGTCCAGGGCCAGGCCCCAGAGAGTCGCAATCAAGGAGAAGGCCAGAACTGCCCCCTAGCCCTGGACAGGGGGCCCGAGCGTGGCACAGCTACCGAAAGCTCCCTGGGCTTGGCCCCTCCTGCGGGACACCAGCTGCCCCAAGGCCACTGCCGGCCGGGCACATGCAGCCTCTCCCGGAGCGGTCCCTGGCCACAGCAGGTGCCCAGCAGCAGCAAGTGTGGGTGGGGTGGGCGGCCACATGCACACCCCAGCAGCTGTTCCACGTCCAGAGCAGGCCCCCCGTCCCTCCAGCCCGCTTGCCCCCGCCCCCTGGCGCCTCTGCGGACAGACCCGCCATGCCGCCTCCGAGGCTGTGGGCCAGGGTCTGGCCCGCGGCCGCACACGCAGCCTGGCCCCCAGGGCCCCCCCAGCTCCCACGCTTGGAGCTTCCCACGGGGCTTCCTGCTCCCTCAGGACTGGGGGCATCTCGCCCGCCTGCCAGCCTCCTGGAAGACTGAAAGGGAGCCGGGGAGGGAGGGGCGGGCGGAGGCGGCTTGTCCTCAGTGGCTTGCACAGGTGCTAATGCTTCTAATGGGCAGGGATCAGTCGGGATCAGTGTGTCAACAATAGAGCCGGGTGGCCTGTCCTGCTGGCCCCAGCTGCCCAGGCGCCTTTCAGGCCCACGATGCCCCTGGAAGTGGGAGACGGAGGCCGCCACACCATTTCCGCCCCCACCCCCACCTCGGGACAGGGGCTGGATCTGAGCCCCAGGCGCCCTGCTCACAAGAAGTCCAGTTCCTCACCCCTCCTGCCCCAAACATCCAAGACTCCAAGGCCATGTGCTCCTCGTGCCGCTGGGAAGTAGCCCCAAGTCCCCAGGGCTGCCCATGAAGGCCCACGTTCCCCACGGCTCAGACAGCCCTGGGG